ATTCAGCTGCACTTTAGTCTGATACTGAAACCAGTAACAATGTTGTTCAACATGGGCAAACAATCACTTCAAAGTCTTTTTCTTTCACTTCTACTTCTATAGACAGCAACAGTCCTTGAAACAGGCGTAAATATTCTGAGGCCAGAGAGAAAGAATTACCATAATGAAAGCTTAAGAAGGTTCCCCTTAACAATATCCGGGCCTTACTCGCCCCTAGGGGATTCCCCTTCTTGTTCTCCCCTACTCACCCGTGCTGACCCTGCTCGCTGCGCCACTTGTTGGGGTCCGTGCCGGGGCTGGTGGAGAATGAAACAACACACAAAAGAGAAAGACACAAGGAGAACATGGCGGCCGCGCTCAGAGCCTCCGCCTCACTTTATTTATACCCCATAAACCCCACGTCAGCAGAAAGAATGCAATGCAAAACAAAATTTCCTTTCCCAGATGTAACCTTCTACTCAGTTCCTTGTTTCTATGCTCTTCCTTATCTGCCCGCCTTCTTGGCGCCTACGGGAGTTCATTAAAAGTTCAATTGGAGATACTGTCCTTGAGCCCTATCTATTCTCAGCATACTGTTTTCAAAGGCCCCTGCAGCATACTGCCTGAAGTCAGGGTGGATGGAGCAGCTCCGCAGTGGGTATGCATTGGGTATGTGTTCGAGGACCAGGTTCAAATGCCCAGCACAGCTGTGACATTCTCTGTGAAATCTTGGGCATGTCCCTGCCGCACTCTCCAGCTCAAACTCCACAGTGAAAAGGGAAGGAGGCTGGAGATGTGCTCTGTGGCCCCTTCCATATCAGACCAACAAAAACGCAGGGACAACACCACAGGGATGAGCAAGGCAGGGCTCTGGAAGTGAGAGAAGCTGTCCTGGCCCACAGGGAATGGACAGTGTGGCTGGAAAGGAAGAGTGTGCACTGTAGGGTAGCAGTACAACATGGCACAGGTTCAGGAGCCATAGTGTGCAGTCAGCCACTAAGTACTCATGGGCATGGGGATGTGCAGGCTGGAGTCATCTACATTAGCTTCAGCAAGAGGAGCTGCCATGTGACCGCACTCATGTGAAGTTAGTTTACTGGGAAGGGGGCCAAGCACCAGCACAATCTGAGGCAGGACCCGCATGGCAGGCAGTGCTGGGGCCATGGCGTCTAGACATGTAGGAAGCTAGAGACGGTGGTAAACATCGACTATAAGACCTTAATGCAGGCAGAGGCCTTTTCCTGAGCCGAGAAGTCCAGTTAGACAAAGTAGCTGAGCTGCTAGGTCAGACAGTGAGGAGAGCACAAGGCCAGGTGCAGGAAGTAGCTGGAGATCTCTGCTCCTTTTTTTCCCTCTTACCTGACTGTCCTCCCCATGCCTAATGACAGGTTGGGCTCCAGGCCTTCTGGTCATCTTCCTCAGAAACTCCAGGTTCTCACCTCCTCCTGCCTCTTGTCCTTCTTCCTGGGGCTCCTGGGGGCTCCATTCCACAGCAGGACCAGGGACAAGTGGGTCTTCAGAAGACCGGAATTCCTGCCCATTTTAGGGTGTTGAAGTGATCCCGTTATCTCAACAAGACACCATGAAGACTGAACGCACCAAGGGAGAGCTCGCTGATGTAACACTAAGGAAAAACCAGCCCTGTGAATTCTACACCTACAGGGACATATCCATGGCCACTGTGCAGAGCGGCAAGCAGACCTGGGATGAAAGAATCCCTTGAATAGTTACAGTCATTGCAGTCACTGTGCTTTACACCTAGCCACACTAAGATTTCTTAAAACTTTGCTGTTTGTTATGTATCAAGCGATTATTCATATGCTTTGGGTAAATCGTTTCTATACATATTAAAATTAATCTTTTACACTTAGAATGCTTTCAGATTCACTGAAGAATTGTGTAGGTATTGCACATATCCCTGATGTGCTATGTTCAATGTCTTCTACTATTAATCTAGTCCACTAGTATGCTACATATCTCACAATTAATGAGTTGATATTGATACATTACTATAATTATACAAAATTGATGAGTAGAACTCATGTATTTATAGTGCATGGTAGGATAGTTTGATGTGTGTATTAACTGTGAAATTACTAAATCAAGCAATACCACATACACTTAATTTTTTTGTGGTGAGAACATTTAAAACCTACTCTCTGTCATTTTCAAGTGTACAATTCATAGTTATGAACTGCACTCACCATATTGTGCAATAGATCTCTTGAACTTATTTTTTCTGTCTAACTTAAATTGTGTTTCTTCAACAATACCTACCCAGTCTGTCCAATCCCCAGCCTCTGCTAATGCTATTCTACTCTGTTTCTGTGGTAGATTTTATTAATTGAAGTCCTTACTTCATTCAGATTTCCCTGGCTTTTACCTCATGTACTTTCTGTGCTCCAGGATCCCACCTAGGACACCACATTGCTTTTAGTCTTCATGTCTGCTTAGGCTCCTCTTATCCATGGCAGTTTCTGGGAATTATTTCTTAGTTTTGATGGCCTTGACAGTTTAGAGGAATGCTGCTCAGGTATTTTGTAGAATGTCCCTCATGTGGAATTTGTTTGATGTTTTTCTCCTGGGGCTAGTGGCTTTGGGGAAGGAGTCTGCACAGCTAATTACCCTGTCATCACATCAAGTCAGTGACACATTCTAACAACCAGAGTTATCCCTGTGGGTCTGCATCTTGGTTGCCTGGCTGCCACAGTAAGCGTGAGGTTTCTCCACTGTACAGTTACTCTTCTCCTCCTTCCCCATGCTGTCCTCTGGAGGAAAGTCACCTGCACAGCCCACGCTTTAGCAGTGGGAATTTACGCTCCCCCTAGAGAGCAGAACCTATAAGAGTTGTTTGCAATCTCTCTCAGTTCCTTCAGGCTGCTATGAGAAGATGCCTTAGACTGGGGACTTTATACATAATAGAAATCTCTTTCTCAAAGTTCTGGGGGCTGGGAAGTCAAAGATCAAGGTGTCAGTGGATTTGTTATCTGCTGAGGGCTGCTCTCTGCTTCCAAGGTGGTGCTTTCTTGCAGTAACCTCAGTTGACTGAAGGTGTGAACACTGTTCTCACATGGCAGACAGGGCAAATCTGCTTCCTGCAGTCTCTGGTATAAGGGCATTAATCTCATTCTTGAGGGTGACACCCTCACGACCAGATTTTCCCACAAGATCCCACCTCTTAATGCTATCACACGGAAATTAAGTTTGAATATATGAGGTGGAGGAACACCAACATTCTGAACACAGCAGAATCCTTTTACATGGGATATTTGTCTATTCTCCTGCAGTTCTTTATTCAGTCATTTACTTACATCAGCATGGACTCCTAGAGTTTTAATATACACATTGGGTGGTAATCCAGTACCACTTGATTTTGTTGCTAGATAGTTCTCACTTTGGCCATTTTCTTCTACTGTACATTTTACACATACGTTGTTCTCTCATCCACTCATGTATTCATCCAACAAGCAATGATTGAGATGATCCCAAGCTCCCATAACTGATCCACTCCTGCCTGCCTTCCCCTCCAAATATCCCTGACCAGCACTCTCTTTCCTCCCTACTCTCCTGGCCCCACCATTTCCAGGGTACATCTTATAATTCCTGGGATTAAAATTTGCCCTCTACAAAATGTCCCAGTATCAAAACTCATCATCAATCCACCGTGGCTGAGACCAGAAGGACTCAGGGGTCTGGTTATGCCTCCAAGTGCCTTGACCACCTATAGGAAGTGCATAGAGAGAAGGAAGGAGGGATGACCCAGCTTTATTCACCAACTTTATTCTTGGCCATCCTGAGAGCTGCCCCTAGCAACAGAGGAGCAGTATGATGGGCTGGAAGGCATAAAGCAGCAGACGCGGGGAGAAGTTCAGTGAAAGGCAGTAGAGCAACACAGGAGGGCTGGGGTGACCAGGCCCAGAGACAGACCCTGTAGCAGATGGCTGCTATCCAGGCCTGGCTGCCCCTCCTCCCCTGGTCTGCAGAGCCCGCCCTCCCAGGCCAACCATTTCAGTCAAGGCATTGACCTTCCTCAATTTTCCCAGATGAGAGACACTGGGAACCTGGGGCAGAATCAGGCAGAGCATCTGACTCCCTCTCCTGAGAGGACTCCCTTTTTTATCCTCTCCTCCACTGTCAGAAACAGATTTGGGCTCGAATGGCCTGGGAGGGTCCACACCTGCTGCTTCCACCTGTGCTGCTGCTGCTCCTGGCCTCAGGTGACATGGAAGGAAAGAGGGCAGGGGGTATAACGAGTGGGATGAAGAATGAGTGGGGCAGGGAAGCAGCGTGGCTCTGTGACCACAGGACAGAATTTAGGGGCCCTCTTCCATGTGTGGGCATCGTAGTTCCCTCTCCCCTTCCCGAGCCTGTGATGGGGGAAGTTGGGTCCCTTCAGAGCTCTGACCTCGGTATCTTTCTGCAGGTTCCTGGGTAAAGGGCGCCGTGCCTGAAGAACTTCACAAACACCCAGGACAGACCCTCCTCCTGCAATGCCAGTACTCACCCAAGACAGGACCCTATCAGTCCAAGACCTGGTGTCAGTAGACATCTCCAGATTGGTGTACCATACTTGTCAGCAGCTCCAAGCCCCGGACAGCAGTTCAGAAGTCTTGTTACACAATCTGGGATGAGCCCGACACTGGCTTCTTTAACATCACCATGATTCAGCTGACACAGAACGACTCTGGATTCTACTGGTTTGGAATTTACAACACTTCCAAAAATGTCATCACTGTTCTTAGAGATATCAATCTGGTGGTGTCTCAAGGTGAGCGCTTTTCTTGAGGAAATACCTCTGTGCCACCCCCCAGGGACCTGAAGGAAATGTCATGCACCCACTCCCATGCCTCTATCATCCCCCATCCTGCCAGGTCTTCTGCTCTGACCCGAGGGGAGCAAAGATTCTGTCCCTAGACATGGACTCTCACCTCTCCTTCACCCGGCACATCCTGGCCTCAACTGTTGGGAAGATACCCTCAGAGATCCCTGGACAGAGACACAGTCTCTCTGTCATTCTGCATCTCTCTTTGTGTTACACAGGCACACCCACAACTCTTCTTTTCACACACACACACCCCCCCCCCCCCCACAGCTCTGTTATGCAGATCTGAGGCACAGGACACTCCCAGCCTAAGACATCCTGAGGGTCTGGCTCTGGGCACCTACCTCCTCTCATGTATGGGGTAGACCCCACTCTCTTCTGGACCCCTGGAGAGTCATTGTCTGCTTTTTTCTTTAGCCCCAACAACATCTCCTATGTGGACCTTCCCCTGGCTCGCAACAAGCACGGGTAGGTTGGAGGCCTCAGTGGGGGGAGATTAGAAGGGTCACCAGGCAGCTTGGGAGCCTCAGATTCAGGGAAGGGGAAACCAGGGAGGACTGCCTCTGAGGACTGATCTCCTGGGGCCTGGGCCGGTGGGAAGCTACCTTCAGGGCCCACTGACTGCCAGGGAGAGAAACATGCACTATCTGATGTGATCAGAAGATCGCTATGTTCTCATGATGATGGGCGGGTGTCCCTAGAGGGGAGTCCATATGGGACACCTTGCACACATGTGTCCCAGCCCTCCTGCTACTGGCCTTCCACCAGCATGGAGAGGACAGTGCCAGACTTAACTTTAGCTGGGTATGGAGATTTCAGGCCTCAGTTACCCTTAGCCTGAGGGACCCTTAGGAGCTGCCTCTGGTCCCTCTCCCCTTCCTCTCACACTTTTGGGACCCAATCCCATTCTTTATTCTGGTCCCCTGGGCAGCCACTGTCTTCTTTGTGTCCTCCTTAGTTCTGATCACTTCTCCAGAGGGGACCTCTGGCCATCCCTCCATCAAGGGCTCTGAGACCAGGTAGGTCAGAGGTTTTAACAATGGGAGGGAGGTTTTGGGAAGGGAGGACTGATTAGCTCCTGAACCTTCAAATCAGGTCTAGGGCACTCAAGGATCCTTCTCTGGTGGGTTGGGTGGGTTGGGGCATAGGTTACAGCTGTGGAGCCCCCAGGCCATGACTCCAAGTTTGGTAGAGTGGAAAGGGGAAGAGGATGCAGGTTGTTAATTGTGGAGGAACCATGGAAAAGACAGTTCAACATGGATTTCTGCAATGAGACAAAATGGAACCCAGAAAAGGTGGAAACTGGAGGCCGTGTTGGTGTGTTGAAGGGTGAGTGTGAATAGAGTGACTGCAGCCTGGGGCAGATGGTGGCTGGAGAAGTCAGCCAGAGAAAGATGAGAGGAATACTCTTAAATTCTGCTTCTATCCCTGTAGTCATGGGTTTTGAGGCCATCACGGCCTCCCCTTCACTGTAGGAATAGGCTGCAATAGACTAGGTCACAGGTGCTCTAGAGGACCATGGAGCACAGCAAAAGCCATGAGCGACTGATGAAAATAGACAACTAACTGCCAGAGCATTTGCTTCCTAGCCCTCTCCTCCTGCAAACTCCAGCACGGGTGGATTACAAACAGACTATCTCTCAGGGAGTTTGAAGGTAAAACCCTAACCAGAGAACAAGCATGGCAGCTAATGGGGGTCCCTGGGGTCTTGTGCTCTAGGGCAGTGGTCCCCAAGCCTGTGAGAAATTGGGCCACATATTAGGGAGTGAGTGGTGAACCACTAGAGTTCATCTGAATTACAGCCTCTTTCCATAGCTTGCATTACGCCTGAGCTCCGCCTCCTGTCAAATCAGTGGCAGCATTAGATTCTCATAGTAGCATTAACCCTGTTGTGAACTGTGCATGCGAGGGTTCTAGGTTGCATGCTCCTTATGATAATTGAATGGCTAATGATCTGTCACTATCTCCCGTCACTCCCAGATGGGACCACCCAGTTGTAGGAAATCAAGTTCAGGGCTCCCACAGATTCTACATTACGTTGAGTTGTATAATTATTTCATTATATATTACTACATAATAATAATAGAAATAAAGTGCACAATAAATATAATGTGCTTTAATCATCCTGAAACCATCCCAACTCTCAGGTCTGTGGAAAATTTGTCTTCCACAAAACAGTTCCCAGGTGCCAAAAAGGTTGGGGACTGTTGCTTTAGGGCTTTTTCCTCTCATTTTTAACCCTCAACGGCTAGAGGATTTAGTCTTCCATTCTTCCCCATTACCAGATCCGTATCTAATACGCCCAGTGGAATCTGAATTCACAAGCCAAAATACCTAGGTTTCTTAGCAGAAGCACTACCTTAAAAGAATGGCAACACACCCAACAATAGAAACCTGTGAAGCAGAACTATGGGAACTGCCCATTCCCCAGGAACTGAAGTACCTATCATCAGTCTGGCTAAAGGGGTGAAGGGAAACATGACCTATGTGGATCATGAGGATGACCCATTGGAAAAAAAGAGCCAAATGCTAATCATAGTTGTGAAAAATATTATAGATCACAATATATGTGATGAAGGATGGCCATGGCTGGCCAGTGAGCTGTAAGAAGTTGAGGAATTCTCACAGAAGTTCCTGGAAAGAACTGGACATTTAAAAACAAAGAGAAGTCAGGAGACATGAAGGAAAAGAGTAGATGTACTAATGTATGGGTATCAAGAACCCCTGTGGGAAATAAAGGATGAAAGAAAGAAATATTTGAAGAAGGAATCCAGGAAAGTTTTTCAAAATTATAGAAGAAAAGACCTCAAATTGAAAAGATTCGTACATTGCCAAATAGGGGAAAACAGCCAACACACACAAAAAAATACCTCTACACCCATTATGTAAAACGGAAGAACTTAAAAAGCAGAGGGAAATGTCTGAAGGCTTTCAGATCACCTACAAAGGAATACGAATTAGACTTCTTAAGAGGAACACTAGAGAAAAGAAGACCATTGAGTAATATTTCTAAAGTACTAAAGAAAAACTTTGTATCCAGTGTTTTGTATTCAGCCAAATTGTCACTCCAATGTGAAATCATAAAACCTCTGGATTCTCAAGGCCTCAGAAGGTTTGCCACATGCAGAGATCCCCATTGAAAACAGTCCTGGAGGAAGGACTCAGCTAGGATGAAAAATAAACAATGGAGACACTGCTAGAAGTGAGGGAGTAAGTGTGCCCAGCATCTTGGGAAAGTTTATTTTTATCTTTTTTAATTCATAGAAATGGCAGCTAAGAGCAAAATGAAGAACAAGAGAAAATACATTCATGGTCATTGAAAAATAACATTCTAGACCAGCAGTCCCTAACCTTTATGGCACCAGAGATTGGCTTCGCAGAAGACATTTTTTCCATGGACTTGGAGGTGGGCGGTGGTTTCAGGATGACTCAAGCGCATAACATTTATTGTGCACTTTATTTATTTATATTATTATTACATTTTAATATATAATGAAATAATTATACAACTCACCATAATGTTGAGTCTGTGGGAGCTCTGAGCTTGTTTTCCTGCAACTAGACAGTCCTATCTGGGGGTGATGGGAAACAGTGGCAGATGATCAGGCATTTGATTTTCCTAAGGAACGTGCAACCTAGAACCCTCACATGCCCCATTCATAATAGGGTTCATGCTACTACGAGAATCTAAAGCCACCACTAATCTAACAGGAGGCGGAGCTCAGGCAGTGTTGAGTGCAATGGGGAGGCTGTAAATACTATGAGGCTTCCCTTGCTCACCAGCCGCTACCCTCCTGCTGTGCAGCCAGATTTCTAACAGGCCAGGAACTGGTACTGGTTTGTGACTCAGGGGTTGGGGACCCCGTTCTAGACAATATCAACATGGGGTGAGAAGGAGAGACCAGAAGCCCATGAAAGGATGGTTGGGTACTTGTCTCATGAGAGGCAATATGTAGATATTGATAAGCTCAGTGTAGCAATTGTACTAAACCAATGTAGGTAAGAGTCTTCAGGTTAAGTCAAGAGAATGTATACCCTTTCATCCAGCAAATTAAAACTCTAGCCAAAGGAAAGCTGGAATCAAATTTTTTAAAAATAAAGCACAATAAATGGAAAAAGTGAAATAAAAAGGTAGAATTACATCCTAACATAAATGAAATTCCAATAAATTTAGGTGGATTAAACTCACAAAATAAGGACAGGGACACTTTGAGTTTTAAAAACTGCAATATTATACTATCTATAAGAGATACACATACAAAAAGATTTTAAAAGGTTAAAAATTAGAAAAATATATTTGACTATTAGGAAACAAACTGTTCTGGCACTCTTAATATTGAATAAAATAGAATTTAAGGTAAAATATTATGTCTATAACGTTTGTTTATAAAAAAAAGACAAAGATATGTAATATAGACTGATGAAAGACGCACTTGAATATGAAAATAGACCCATCATAAACATGTACATGCTTACATTTTGGCCATGAAATATATCAAGCAACAATATCAGAAATGGAAGGAGAAGTAAATTATTAGCCATTGTAGTTGAAGGCTCACATACCTCTCAGAGGATCAAAGACCAGTGAGACAAAACTAAATAGAGGGGTTTAAGTTTTAAGCCAAATAACTAATAAATTCCAGTATAATACCATCATATTTTTATCAATATGTTACATATTTTATGAGATATTTATAATAATATAGGATACATATAAACTATATTTTAAACATGTATTTTCAAATATATAAAAATGTAGTTACAGATTGAAAAATGTTCTAAACTATATAAATCTTGTTTTAAATAGTTTAATAATATATAATAGGGTTCACGCTACTACAAGAATCTAAAGCCACCACTAATCTAACAGGAGGCGGAGCTCAGGCAGTGATGAGTGCAATGGGGAGGCTGTAAATACTATGAGGCTTCCCTTGCTCACCAGCTACTACCCTTCTGCTCTGCAGCCAGATTCCATATATTATGTATGTTTTATAAAATACAGTATTCACAAATATAAATAGTGTACAAGTACACGTATATATGTTTATAACCCTCTACATAATAAAAACAGATAGTATACATTTTTTCAAATACATGGAATGTATTTACAAAAGGACACCTTGTATGAGGACATATAAGAAGTGTGAAGAAATTCTAAAGAATCAGTATGACACAGAATATATTCTCCAGACCTAATGCAATGACATTAGGAATGCATAAGAGAAGTAAAGATAAAATAGCACTTTTCAAACTATTTACTAATACATTCATATATGAATGTTTAAGTATGCAATAAAATATATTTTTATAATATGACCACTATATATCAAAAAATATGAGGCATACAACATTAGGGAGTAATCAGTACCTTTGAATACATTTGTTGGAAAACATGAAAGCTTTCAAATTAATGAGCTAAGGAAGCATCTCAAGAAGATGGAACGTGAGCTTCAGAGCAAGCCCAAAGAATCATGTAATTGAACGATTGAGAAAGGAGACCAAAGAAATTCATAATTCATTCTTTAAAAGTTTACTAACATAAACATGTTCTTGCCAAGATAAAAGAAGATAATGAATAAACAACAAATCGAAGAAAAAGAAAATAACCACACACTCATTCTACAGAGATTTTAAAATAAGTAAATCCTGAATAAAATCTTGTTGTTTTAAATCCTAGAAGCACACAATTTCATAACAATATGAACTGCCAAGATTAACACAAGAAGAAACAGATTTCAATAGATTAATAAATAGGAAAACTGAAATGGTTGATGAGACCCATCCTCACAGAAAATTCAAGACTCACATGGTTTTCAGGTAACCCAATTTTTAAAGAAACATTTGATTTATATTTCATACTAGATGTTGCAGAAAATAGAAAAGAAGCAAAAACGGCCCAGGTCATTTGAAGCGGTTAGTGTCATCAAAATCTCAGAACTAATTAAAGGCAATACAAAAAAATTACATTACAGGTTCATTTATCTGATGCACATGGGGTCAATCCTCAAATTACCATTAGCTAACTGAATTCAAGAGTGCATTGAAAAGAAGACTGATTATAACAGAGGAGAGTTTTATCACAAAACAAAAAGGATTGTTCAACTTTACAAAATCTATTAATATAAGTCAACCAAATTCATAAACTACAGGAAAAAAGTCAACTGCTGCACAAAAAGCATTTGGGAATATTCAGCACATTTATGTTATATGAAAAAGCTCTCAATAAAATAGAAATAAAAACAGAAAACTTGGTAAAGATTGTACACCAATGATTACAATAAAGATTACTTATTGGAGGTATAAACTCAAATTAAGGATTTTCACAGCTACCATAAATGTCTTCTAAAATATTAGAGGTTCTGATCAATGCTTGAAGGAAAGGAAAACAGGTTACAAGAAAGAAGATTAGACAAGAAGAGGAAAAACTGTCATGACTTGCAGATGATGGGATCATCTACCCAGAAAAAGAATGAGAAACAACAAACTATTAGATGTCACAAGAGAGTTCAGCAAGGCTGCCAGAGACAAAATCAACTGACATACATTACAAATAGATTGCTATGAGGAATAATCATTTAGAAAAATAAGATAGTTTTCATTACAGTCACAAAGTCTATAAAGTTTCTAGAAAGAATTAATTTAACCACGACCTATCTGGAGAAAACTACAAAATGCTAAAAAATGACACGTGATCTGAATAAATAGAAATAATCCATGACTTTGGAAGAGGCAATAACATTGTAAAGATGTCAATTTCTCCCAAATTAAAATGTCTTTAAATGTAATCCCAAACACAACTTGTTTACTTTTGTAAAGAACTTGAAAATTTTACTCTAAAATTATACGAAAAAAAGAATATACATGAGTAGCTAAGTCAACCATGAAAAAGTGAAAATAAAAAGAGCTCACTGACTTTATTATATATTAAGTAACACTGAGGCAGAAAGTTACTGAGGCTACAAGAGAAAAGCAGATTTGCTGGGACAGGGTATTCCTAGAATCAGAGCTAGGCAGGCCAGGAGTGGGGACTACACAGAGGGGACCAGGGAGGACCCCTGGGACCAACAGACAGGAGGTCTAGGTCTGTGCTGTCACTGCTCCTAAGGGTCTGGTCAGGTCCTGTGCAGTCTCTAGGCCTCATTCCCTCAGGTGTGATATCTTGGCTTGTCTTGAAGATGCAGTTGGCTCTGATTCCTAAGAGGCTCCTGATGGTCTGGTCCTACCTGACCTGGTTAAGGAGAATTCCTGCTCCCCTGGCTCTATCCCTCCCCTTACCTGAACTCCAATCCCTTGTTCCTCCCCTGGCCAGCTTTTTCCTCCATTTAAGACTTTGAGGTTCCTTCTGACCGGATCCCCTCTCAGTCCCAGAGATCTCTGTGGCTCCTGCCCCAGGCCCCTGTGTCCTAGTCAGTTCAGGGTGAGTCCTTCTACAAACAGTTCCAGCCACAAAGGGCCTGCCTGGTTTAGGGACACCGCAGGAGGTGGTGACATCCTGGCCCAAGTTCGTCCTCCTTTCTCCTTCCTCCCTGCAGGAAATCAAGTTCCCCCACCTGCCTTGGCTCAGGTGGCCCCAGTTTGCTGGTCTCTGTGCTGTGTGGACTCCTCACGGCCAAGGGCCTGATGCCCTGAGTACTGTTTGTGTTCCTGACCCCCAGGTGCCACAGGTGAGAGGGGCCTGGATTTGGTCTGGGGGGCAATGGAGCTGGGGCCAGATTCTGTTCCTAGAAAGATGGCTAGGAAGAAGCAGCCAGATCACAGAGCCAGGAAAAATGACAGCTGGGAACAATTTAAATATCTGTTTCCTTGCAATCTCTGCCTTCCTGCCGACGCAGACCTTAGAAAGAGACAGAGGCTTTCTGGGAGTCCCATCCAGGGCTCTGCCTGTCTTTGTCCTAAGAGGAAAAAGACCAGGAGGACAAAGCTGAGAGTGCCTGGGTAGAAGGTTTAGGAGACAGGAAGGTAATGGGAAGGAAGCAGGTGACTGGGAGAAGTGGGGGCAGGGGCGGGAAAAGGAGTAACAGGTAACAGGGACAGGGTGAGACAAAGGATCAGAAAAACATCACTTCCATTCATGACTTTCCCCCTCTTGCTCCGTCTCAGGACAGCAGTGACGGAGGTTTCTGATTGTCCCAGCACAGTCTTGTCCCAGGACCCTTGGGTGCATGAGCCACAGCGTGGATCCAGGATGAATCCCAGTTCTTCCCCTGCCCAGCTATCGGGAGCTGCCCTAAGCATGAGGCCCCACCTCCCCGTGAGGAAAGGCCAGCACTAAGCCTGTTGGGGAGAACTTTCAGCTCCCCATCTCGCCGGTGGTGACCGCTCACCCCTGCCCTGAACCCTCTTAGATCTACTTCCGCTGCCCTGCCTTCTGCCATTGGGTGGGGGTTTCTGCATCCGGGTCAGTGCTCAGCTCAGCATCTTCAGCAGCGCCTGGTCTCCTCTCCAGCAGTCTGTGGTTCTCTCAGCCCCGCCCCGGCAGGTCTCCAGGATCCCTCACATTTTCCCTGTTTGTTACCTGTGGTCTGCCCGAGAGTCCTGTGAATTTCCTCTTGTGCTTAATTAAATTCAGCCTCTGAACTGGAATGTGTCAGGGGCAGCTGAGCAAGAAAGCAGGTGTATCCCCTCACCTTCCTCCCCTCCCACCTCAGATATCCTAAATGAGAGAGAAATGACTTAAAATAAATGATAAAATTGAAACTAAGAAAGGTTGTAATCAGCAGACTGAAAGCTGAAGAAGATCTAGAAGTAAAACAAAAAATTAGATGAGTTAAAATGACATGAGCAGGAAACTCAGTAGCCTAAAACAGGACCCAGAACATTCATCCATAAATGGAATCTGATAATCTGGGGCCCAAATTCTGTTTGCTTAACATGTGAGATTCATAGCCTAAAAGAGAAAATCAAGTTGAACTAACGATAATTGACAGTGGGTGAAAGATAAATGTTTTAGGGAACAGAAGAGGAGCACACATTTATGAAGCAAGAATAGGTACAGTCATTTTCCAACTAACATCTAGTGAGACTGGGATTGACCACTCAGAATGGGGGTCCACCATGAACAACCAATTTGAGGTACCAGTGCATAGCAACTGAATGCCAGCCCTGAAAAAGACCACTATAAATAGAGCACCATTTTCGTTTGCTCTTTTGGGGGTGGGGCATCAAACAAAAGTCTCTTCATGTATATCTCAGCTCCTGCCACGTGATCATCACCTATCTGTGAGAGGCATCACTTTTGCTTTGTTTCTTTATTTTTTTTAATCCTCACTCCTTATTTCCACTTGCCTTCCTCTCCGAGGCAACCACTCTAATGCGTTTGGCATGAAACTTTAAATTTGAATGTATTCTTATAAAACATGCAGTATTTTTTTTTCTGTGACTATGTTTAAACTTACTTAGAAGAAATCGTGATAGACCTTTTTCATATGCTTGTCTTACTCCTTGCTGGGCACATATGCACAGCCCACTTTTTTTCAGTGCTTATTACATTGTGTACATATCCCATAGTGCACCATTCCGAACCCAGGGTGCATGTGCTTTTTTGCCTTCACTTCTTTATATCGTAAATAATGCTGTGATGAATACCCTCCTTCAGGTTCTCTTGTGGAATCATGTGAGACTTCCTTTAGCACTTATACACAGGTGGCATCAGCTGGGTTGTAGGATCTCAGACATCTAATTAATACTGCCAGCTTGTGTTGCCTGAACCAAGAATCTAGACACTAGCGATTATGTGTTTTCTTTGAGTCTATGTGAAGCACATAGCACAACCCTTGGAATGGTATTGCCAATATAAAAAAAATGAACGGCAAAAATAAATGTAGCTGAGTGATGCTACGTGGAGCTAGATATATGATTATCTCTACTTTTGTGTATGCTTGGAAATTTTCATAATTAAAATGATACCTAAAATTAAACAATTATGTCTTGAAGCCACTGCTATTTGGTTTTCAGTCGTATGTGGCTGACCCCAATCCTTTCTTGATTTATTGAACTTTTACAACTGCAGTGGGTTGGGAAAAGTTCACTTGTAGTATGGAAATATTGAGCTTCACTTAAAGAACATTGGTAGTGGGATAAAAATGGACTAAATAAAAATAGGTCTTCTTTAATCAGATGCTAAGAGCTAGCATTTAGCTATAACTTTTAAATATTTTTTCTTAACATCCTTGGCCTCAAAATTGTCATAATTCCCTTAACCACAATTTTCAAGCAGGTGGTAAATTCTGTGTCATAAGCTAACATCTAAAAAAAGTGTATCTTTCTTTAAAATTTTGAACATTTTTTACTGTTTTCCTATCTTCATAGTGTAGCTATGGAAATGTCTGATAATAATCTGATAGTTATTCATCTTCACTGACCAATTTTATCTCTGGAACATTTTATAATTTTCTTTTTGAAATTTTTATTATAATGTGTTTAATGTGGGGTAATTATCCGGGTTTTTTTTCTTTTTCTTTTTCTTTTTTTTGGGGGGGGGCAAAAAAGTGGGATAAGAGTCAGGGAGTGGTTGGGAAGCCTGGCAACAAAAGGCAGAAAGAGGGAAGGAGCAGGGAGCCAAAAGCCTACATCACCTGGTCTTCCCAGGCGGAATCCTATCCACGTACTAACCAGGCCGACCCTGCCTGGGTCATGCCTCGGGCGCGTTGAGGGTGGTATGACCATAGAGGCCAGCGGTGGCCCCTGGCTGCCCCAACAGCCCGCGGTGCTGCAGCGGCGGACCCCCACGAGGAGGTCCCGGGTTCCTGCAGGCACGCAGGTGGGCGGAAAAGGGGGAGAAGAGTCAAAGGGTGTTTGGGAAGCCCAGCGACAAAACGAGGAAAGAGGGAGGGAGCGGGAAGCCAAAAGCTTGATAATCCATTCTATTTGGAACTCTCTGAACACATTCAATCTGATGTCTTACATATTTGTTTAATTCGGAAAAATCCTTGGTATTATTTTTTCAAGTAGTTCTTCTACTCCATTTACTCCTTTTTCTCCTTTAGGGACTTCTTTGAGGAGATATTGACATTTCTATTTCTATCCTCCATACCTCTTAATGTTTTTTTTACACTTTCTATCACCTTATTCCTTCCTACTGCCTTTAGGGAGCTCTCCTTGACTCTTTCCCTTATGTACTCATTCTTCTGCTAGTCATTACATTCAGAGTTTTCTTTCAACAATGATCATTTTCTTAATCAATGTTTCTAATTTTTTCTTCTTCATTATTGCTTGCTTCTGTTTTATGCCTCTAATATTGTCCTGAGAATATCTACTATGCTCTGAGAATATCTACTATGCTTCTTTAAATCATTGTTCTCCCACTGGTTCTGCTTTCTCTGTAATAGATTATTCAATTTGTTTCTCTATAAGAAATTTGTTCAATTTGTTATCTTTTATAGCATTTGGTAATTTTTCTTGTGTTCTCATCTTTTATTCCCTTCCCACCCCCCTTTTTTTTTTGAGGATCAGTGAATTACTACAGATTTCACCACATAAGGAAGCCCCAGAGGTAAATAGAGTTGATGAGTTTGCCATAAACTGTCCAAATGTATAGATACACTTACTATATCACAAAGATAGCCATTCACATCAATGAGTTTATTTAACAATGGAAACAGCATATGTTTAACTATTTGGAAAAAATTAAATGCTACCCTCTTTTCATACTATAATCTAAAATAAATTTTAAATAGATCAAAGAATTAAGTGTTAAATGAGAAAATATTAAATAACTAAAAGAAATAACTAAGGATTCAATTCTAGTAAGGATGGGCATAAGCAGCCAATATAATAGAGACATAAATCATAGAGAAAAAAGGCTGAGAGATTTTCCAAAATTAAAATTTTAAAACTAATCTGTGTCCAAAGTAAGTCATAAAGAAAACAAACAAGAAAAGACCAAACTCAGTAGAGTTTTTTGGAATTAAACTAGAAATCAGTAGCAGAATAACAAAAGGATATTTGGGAACTAAAAACTATAATAACCAAAATTAAAAGCTCACTAGATGGACACTATAGGGTAGTAGAAATGAGAGGATATAATTAGTGAACTAAAAGACAGATCAATAAATTTACTCAGACTGAACAGAGAGAAAACAGACTGAAAATAATTGAACAAAACCTCGGCTATCTGTACAACATTACCACAAGAGCTAACTTTTGCATCATCAGAGTCCCAGAAGCAAAGGAGAAAAAGTGTGGGACTAAAAAATTATTCAACGAAATGTCTGAGCTTCTCAAATTTGGTCAAAGACATAAAGTTACTGATCCAAGAAAGCTTTTGGGATGATGGCACCCTTCTCTCTTGATTATGGCATTGGATACCTGGAACTCTCAGAACTGTTCATTAAAAAAGGGTGAATAGTACTGTATGTAAATCAGACCTTAATTTTTTAATGGGAAGAATAAATGTAAATACAAAATACACTGTTGTGTTAAGTCATTTTGGACATAAAAGTCTAATGTATACATATTTTTAATGACTTTGACCAATGCTTCCAAATTTCTCTTAAGAAAGGTTGAATCCAGTACATACTTCCTCAATCAGTGAATGAGTGTTTGATTCCTTGTACCCTTATCAGCACAGTGATCCCAAGGGTCACAGTTTCGACGATCCCTGGCTCAGTGCTGGGCACACTGTATTGGTT